AAGGCGAAAAACCGACGGTGAATCAGCTGCTCGACATCCTCCAAGAACAGGTGCACAAGCTGTATACGAAAATCTTCGGCACAGATGGTGGAACACGTCTTGACACCCTCATGATGCTAAAGATACTTGAGTCTACAATTGACGACTTGTCCAAGAGCCTAGCCAAATACAGTCGACTTCAGGTGTTGAAAGCGAAGAAAACTGTGGATGAACAGAACCGCTTCATCGCTCGCCAACGTCAGAAGGAGCTGGAGGCTCTGGCACACGATGCTAAGCTCAAGAGAGCCATTGAAAGCTCCAAAGAACCACCGAGGTGGCATCGTGGAAGACGCGTAATTACTAGATCAAATCCACCTGAGGTGGACTTCCAGATGGGGGCTGTGACGCAGGTGGAGACGCTGGTTGTGGAAGACTCGGACGCCGACTTGTTCAAGTACTGACAAAAGGAATCGGTTCGCAAGCAAAAAAGCAATCTACTCAACTAAGCATTTGTTACTTACTGTTTTTTTAACATCTTTCGACGTGATTACTAAGTACAATTAAAAGTAGTGTGCAATCCTAGTGGGTAGTTTCTGGCCTCTTAGTTACAGCCATATCAACGTGTTGAACTACGACAGAATTGACACGCAATTAAGCACCACTCTTTCCGCATCTACTGCATTTCATTTACCATTGGAAAACATTAATAGTTGCTAGCGTGAATCAATTTCGTACCTTCAGGGTTCGAGTTTGGCAAATTATGGACTGTCCACTTACAATATTTTACCAGCTCACGTTATTCGTTATTTACAGTCTGCTTCACCTCTTAAGGAACACGAAAAGATTTGTGTCATTTTAGGCCTAATGTGCGTCGTGTAAACATTTCAGCAGTTAATCTGCTGATTATGGTCCTTCCGTTTCATCAATCCGTGTGAAGTTAAATTTCAAATCCAAAAGATAAAATGCGAACTTTGTGGCAATGACTAGTCAAATTTTGCGTGATTTGGCAAATTAGCGGACAACGAATAGACCAGATTTTGTAAGGAGTTCTAATAAGTAGGATCCGCTACCGTACACCACCGTCCGTAATCAAGAATGGCTTATTTTGCCAAAAAACGCCGTGATTGGTTGAAAATGCAACTACGCAGACAATCCTGATAATTGAGCAATGTACTAACTGTGAACAGCAGTTTATTATCAAATTGTCACTTTTAACAAGCAAACTTGCACGAGATTGAAGTGTTAATATTTCCCATTAAGTTAACAAAGTTCACCTGGACACCACCACGGAAAACACCATAGCCAGCGTATCCCGTTTCGAATGCCGCGTCAATAAACAGGTCTATTGCAGGAGAATGCATTTCCCTGAAGCATGATAATTTACATTCTAGCTAAATCATTTCTGAGAGGTGACATTTAGAAGTGCATAGCGATGTACGTCGGAGAGTTGGCTGGGAGTAAAAAGGACGAATCAAAGAGCACGTGAAGACAAATCACTCGTTGCGCGGAGCGCCGCAAGTCGTAGTGGATGGTCTCTGGGAGCGACGATGGACGTTGCTGCTGTTGGTTGCGGCGGTGCCGGTAGAATGGCCGCAGTTCACAGCAGAGAGACGCAACGTCGGATGGGATGAGGGGAAGTGGTGGGTGTGTTGCCTGAGATTCTGTTTGGGGACACGGGAGGGAGATTGTGCGCCTGGGTGGTGTTGGTGGGCCGCCGCTGACGCCGCCGTGGAACATAACATTTTGATGGACGAATTCAAGTGCGCCAGACGCAACTTGTATGCCTTGTAGGTTAGCTGAACGAGAAACAAAAACGACACATTAATACCAAGCATAACATATGGACATCACATATCCTTGTTTAAGAAATCGCACTTTTAAGAAAGCCAACTTCTCTTGAAGTCGATTCTGTTCTTCCAACATAAACCTTAGGCTGGCGTTTCCGTCAAATTCGACAAACGGACTGCCCGCTTCTGCCGCTGACGGCTGTGTCGGGATGGGCGGAGGGCTGTCAGGCGGTGAATACAAACAGGAATTAAGGCCCGCTGAGTCGTCAAATAGCCTACGCGATGCCCGTCTTTCCCTACCGGTCGAGATGCGGAGAGAACTAGCGAATTGGTTGACGAGTGCTTCGGCGGTGGGGTCTGCATTCTCGTCGCCCTCCGCGCAATGATGGCAACTGCTGTGATGGTGATGATGATTAAGATGACGACGGGCAACACTTTGTTTCTCACAGCCAGAAGCGTTGCTCTCGGAAAGGACTCTGCGCGCAGAGGCGTTACCAGTCGGCGAGGAGTGGACGTGGGGGAGATTTATGGCCGAAAAACTGACCGCCGCAGAACCCGATCTGCTATCCTGATCTGGGGAAGGGAGAGTCGTTGGGGACTGCGGCGGAACACCGACCTTTCGCCGAGGAACCGAGGGACGGCTGGGTGTTTTAAAATCGACAGAAGGCGACTTGCGGGGAGCAGGTAGGGCTTGGTAGATTGTTTCGGTTTTAACTGGTGTCACAGGGACTGGTGCAGAAGAAGCTTCTTTTGATTTAGCTGATAGCACTTGCTTAGAGCCTGTGGCTGGTATCGCTTTCGGTTTGGGAGGCGGTGAATTACCTAAATAGACATAAAAAAGTAGGATCTTAGGGAAACTCGCGCGTCTGGGCCGACTGAAGATTGATTTTTGACATGTCCTTAGACGTGAATTACAAACTTCCTGCTCACAGTGACAAAATAAATCTAACCGACATGGGAAATGGGTGAATAAAGTCACATCAGATTACTAAAAACGCACCTGGTTGACCGGATGCACCCTTGGATAAGGCCTCCTTTACACGTGATCGATAATACGAATCTAAAGGATGCTGCCAAACGCAAATTCCTGACGAGTTCTGCTGATAGAAGATTTGACCATTACGATTCTAAAAGCACATAGATTTAGTCAATAGAAACAAAACTTAAGGCTTCTTTAAAATGATTGAATATAAATAGAGTGACGACTTAGAAATCAAAAATATGAAAAGTTCGACTTCTCTGCATAAAACCGGATGTTATAGCCTGAGAAAACAAACAGCTAAGGTTAGTGATGTCTGATGGTGAGGGAGTATAACAAGGAATACAGAACAGAACTCAAAATAAAACAACGAAAATGCCGGAATGTTTGTAACCACGAAAAAAGTTTGAACCAGCACGCCTTACTGGACATACCTGCAAAATGGTCCAACCTTCTGGGACACGGGCAGTTACACCTTCCCGGGCAATGTACAAAAGCTCAGGATTTTCTTTAGGATTTATTCCTATGCTAGCGGCATAGAGTTCAACCTCTTCATCAGTTGGATCGTGACTCTCTACCTCTTCTAATACGACGCAGTGTCCCAAATCCTCGGTTGACATGCTTGATGAAACTTCTTTTGACCACAAATTCGAGACGACTAGCCGGACGGCAACTAAGCCTCTCAAATAATCCGCAACTTAAACAAGTTCTTTTGTGTGATGTCGTAAAACAAGCAGTTTAATTATGATGATAGACCAACAATTTTTGGTAGCAAAAGCATAATATTTTATTAATTTTTAAAGTGCGGTTTTTTAAATAGTTTTTAAATATTAATTTTAATTCAAATTTTGACTCCTTTTCAGTCCATTCAAAGAAAACAGTCGTGGTTTGAGGCAAGTTATTTTGCTTATATGTACCAATTTATTAAGTGAAAAATATAGGTACAGGTGATTAAAACGAATTTAAACTCATTAGTTTCGAAAATGTGTTAATTTTTAGCCAGGATTTTTTCCCCAACTTTTGCGCATAGTTTAGTCTAGGCGTTTGCTTTTGGGGCCTAAAGTGTATTTGTAACATTGCAAGCCATTGAAAGTTTTACCTGTTGGGTTATAAATAAGTGCTTTAAGAAATTGTTAAATAAGATTAGCTTGATTCTTTTAGTTATTGAGATATGTGGATAATTCCAAATATCAATTTAATATTTCGAGAGTTAGCATGGATACCGTTAATAATTGTGCTTCTGGAATTGGGAACTGAGTAGAAGTAGCTGCTACCTGATATAATCAGTAGGCTATTTTCCCTTATAATGCTATAAATAGCACCCAGCCACTTAAACGCAACAAAATGCGTGACAAATAATAGTGGAGAAACTATATTTGTATGATTGGGGATAGTAAAACATGTTCTAATTAAATTTGAAGTCTTCCTTTCAGATTAAAGAAAGCAGCTATAATAAGGGAAAAGCATATTCGCTTTCAGTAAGTGGTTTTCAAACGCTTATCGTAAGTGAATTTCTTAGCAAGTGGCCATCAAGTTGATTTCCATCTCTAGGTTACTATTCCCTTTTTTACCAATCATGCGGTGTACTTAGGGTTTTTTCGAAATTCTGACCGACCATTCCTCAAACAAATTTAGGTTTAAGGTCACTAACCTATCGTCATAATTAAACTTCTGCCTCCTTTTTGTTCTCTAAATTAAACAAACAGAGGCACAAGATGAACAACTCTTCGATTAATAACAAATTTTGAAGCGCATTTTTGCTAATAATGTTTGACTATGCTATAAATTGCCATTTTATCTACTGATTGCTTGGATTTCAAATCCTTAAACCTAAACCCACCTGCGAATTTGCAAATTATCATCTTGGGCCTCCACGTGACATCATGCTGTTCATACAAATCTCAATTTTTAAGCCGTTCAAGATTAATACCATTGAGATGCAGAAAGAAACTACAAATATTTGAATCACAAGATTAGCTGAGCAACATAAAACCTATTTTTAAAGCTGATAATTTGTCGTAATTGAAACTTTTTGGGTATGGTGAGCTTTGGGGTTAGTATATTGAGGACCTGATAATCAACTGGAGCACTTTTATGTACTTACAGTCAATCGGTTTTGATTAACACTCTTCTATCCTATGCGAATCTTCAGTACCCAATTTAACGGTCTCGTTAAATGACAAACTATATGTCAGAAAGCTGGCGGCCTTTGAATAATGATATTAACAAGCAAGTCAAATTTATATCCTATGAATTGTGAGAGTAACGCATTTATCTTCCGCGATAACTGAAATGATATTATTGTGGATCACCAAAACGTCAAAGACACTCTTTTAACTTATTTAGGCAAATTATTTCTCAGTAAACATTTGTTATGAAGCGCCTTGATTCACACTCGTTTATATGGTCACTCAGCCCCCGACACATAGACTCCTTTTTTACAGCATGTCGCCAGCAGTACTGATCTCCACTCCACCCATATTAGCTTAAAAATTTATTCTAGACTATCCTCACATCTAGGTATCGATATTAGCACATCTAAGACTCACAAATCTTCATTGCTTGTACCGGGGTAGCAAAATTGGGTCAGATCCAACTCAGTGGCCCCGGCGTGGTTAAAGACCACACGTTGGGGACCACAACAATTGGTTCTAATTTCAATGCTAGAAATACGCTGTAAATAACTGTACAACTTGTTTCTGCGAGAGTCTTAAGTCTATAAGACAATTGCCTCTGATGCTGGACGCTGACATTTCAATTTAAGTCTGCCTTGCTGTGAAAGACTTCTCTCATCCTGAAAAAGGGCACAATCACACGATAATTGCCGACTATAAAGCACTTCTTCACATTGGCCACAGACTCAGCTGGTGAGGCTCGATAGTGTACAGTTTAATGATGACGTCAACTTTCATAGTAAACAGCGATTTCTATGATCGTGAGCACCTGCGTAACTACAACCAACAATCTTAAGCCATGTTGAAGTAGACGTCATGCACTGCTTTACTGAAAGCCTGCACACTGTTTCATGTGGACACACGTGTATTTTTGCTGCCAATCGACCACCAAAACAACCATACACGTTGAATTGGCTTTCACACTTTTCCAGTCTTCATTTCACTGCAGGTTTGGCCGGTGACCTTTGAGTTGGCCCTGCGCTTTCAAGGACATTCAATCATTCGCAGTCTCAGAATTTAATTTTATGCAAAGGCACCATCAACTGAAGCTGCATTGCGGTGGTTAGGCAAATGCGACAAATGGCAAATGATGAGACGCAGTTCCAGTGTTTGCGGATGTTGCATTGTCGCTAAGATTTACTCGATATGTACCACCGTCGAAAACGGTGGATTGAACTCTCGAAGGGGTTGCATTTTGAATAGTAGTGACTTCGGTGCAGGGAGTTAAAATGAAGCCAAGAGTATTAAATGTGGGCTAATCAAAGCTTCTAACTGTGGCAAACCATTGCTGCCTCAAGCATCACTTGGACACGTTAAAATTAACTCAACCTAATGTCACACCAATCCTATAGAATCGAAGTACGTTACATCACCCACTTTTCCTTAGTGATGGAACAAACAGGAATCCGTGGTGTTAGTTGTGGATGCCGTGTTTGTGTGCATTTCGTGTGAAACACGAGCTGATAATTACCGCTCACATGAGAACGCGCGAGATCCACATTTGGAAGCGTGGTGGAAGAATTCTTGAAACTTCAATGGTTCCATTTGAAAAACAGTAAACTGAAGCTGTCCTTTCCACGTCCGTAGATACATCAAGCATGTTTTTTTCGGGAAATCGAGCAAAGAGAAGGAGTAAAATTATAGCTTCAATTTGCCACTAGTCTCAAGAAGCATGGCTCACAAGAAATCATCTATGAAAACCTGAAAAATGACGTGCGACGGCATCTGGTGTTTTCTTGCCAAGTATTCAAATCACACAAAAGTCGAAGGTGTAGCAGCCAAAATTGACACTGACACATACAAAAGGTTTGACAGCCATCTAACCTCTCATCAGACAAAATTTAACTGTCAATCTATTTCAAAATTTACGATACGACCAAGTTTTAGTCACTAAAAATTGTTAACAAAATCGTTCACAGACATTAGAAATAGTGAATGGTCACTGGGTGGATTCAAGTGAGGCGAAAGTGATTCGGATGTATGCAAACGCAACACTGGCAAATCTAGTGCTAATTTTGAGATCTCAACTCGAGTTGATGTCAAATGATCAATTAATACCTTTAGCTGAACAAAACGGCAACGTGAGTAATTACGACGTTCACGCGCTTAAAGGTGTGATGTGGCAACGATTACATGTTAATAATGATTTGTAAATTTAAGCTGGCTGTGTTGCAACGAGTACAGAATTGTGGTAAAATTCGCGCGCTTTTGCGAAAACGGGTTTTGTGATTGGTCGACCTCTGTTGCTGATGCGAAGGCGTTAAAGCCAAAGACAAGTCATTCGTCTAGAAGTGATGATGTGAGTAGAATGCGTGCATTGCATGGCGACATACAGCAGAGATCAATTAATGCTGATGTACCTACAACGCCATAGCCTGCAGGAACGAGACTGACATTGGTGACCAGCTACTCGAACAAGCATGTAGACGGAATTTGACAACATCCTATCTTTTAAATGTCCATTGCCTCTTCCCATGGCTATAAAGGACCTGATTTGCTGCACATTTAGAATCTCATCACGAAAGCACCATTTCAGTAGCTATCACCGATGGTCATTCTTGCCGTATGTTTACAGAACTTTCCTAAAGCTAGTTGCCTTGTCCTAAGTGACCCCTCTTTCTACCCCACGACGTCTGGTTTGTGAGACAAAACGCGGCTTGGTACTTTGACCCTACTTTTGTAAGAATTTAAACTAGCGTCTGGACATCAGCGGGGTAATGGTGAGGTCAAGCATTCCTGGAGCAGCGGATAGCACATGCAGGCTAAACGTGATCGCACACACATTGCGCCGGTTTAAAGCTGTATATATACACAAGAGGTCAAGTCTGACTTGGCATTCACCGTCGCACAAATGCTGCTTCCCATCTACCTCCTTTCTTTTCTACTGGTCAGGTCTTTCGGTGGAGTCGCTGTCAATGCAGGTTTGTTCAGTAAATGCAAACGACCTTGGTCTTTAATGCTTTAAGTTGCTGATAAGTTGTCTGTAAATTGATTTAGAAAGGCATAATGACGCGGTTGATGACTTCACGTCAAGGTTAATTGAAGGTGTTACAAACAAAATACAAAAATGTTTGTCCAAGGAGGTTTGCCTTCGTGGGCTCAGGTCCATCCATGTTATTGGATCCACAGACGCAAATTGGCAAGGCAGGGTCATCCCTACCACGTCAAGCACACGGTTTCATTTGTGCGAATTGCGAGCTGACAGCATTGAACTGAGCCTCGACGAATGCTATGCGGCAAGTGCATTCCTGTTGCATGGTATTTTGTCGACTAAAATACCATTGCAAAATGTCTCTATTCTGCTCGAGTCTTATAGCGTCCAATTTTCATAGCTTTTCTTTCATTGCATTGCAGTCACATGAAGGAGGCAACGCATTTAGACATTTTGCGCCAATCCGCATTTCCAACTTTGTCCTGCAGTTTGATGCTCTCGCAAGAAGAGGCGG